CAAAATTTGTTTAATTCTTTTAAAATTTAAAATTTTGTATTGGGATGTTTTTTATTCTAGGCGGTGCACCGCCCTGAGTCCAGCAGGAGAAGGGCGGTATAAAAATTTAAATAAAATAAAATAAATAAATAAAAATAATCCCCAAACACACTCTCACCCACCACAAATTCTCCACCCCTAAACCACCCAAGCATCCACACTACAGACCAAGTAATACTGTCCAACAGCTCACTGATGGTGGCCCTTTAGTTCATTGTTGAGTGCAATTATAGCTCTGGGATAAAAACTATTCAGAAAACGTGTGGTCCGAGTTTTAATTGTTCTGTATCTTCTGCCAGAAGGCAACAGTCCAAAAAGATTGTAAGCAGGATGGGAAAAGTCTCTGAGAATGTTATGCAACAGCTCAAACAGCGAGATTCGAAGATGTCGTCCAGGGCTAGTAGCTGGAGTCCGATAATATTCTGGGCAGTTTTAATGATTCTCTGTAGAGTGTTTTTGTCCACTACAGAGTTGCTCCCATACCATGCAAGAATGCCGTATGTCAGGACGCTCTCAATGGTGCTGCGATAGTAGGACAGAAGTAGATGCTGAGATAGATTTATCTTCCTGAGCATTCTCAAAAAGTACAGCCTGAGAATGTTTTCTTGCAGACGTTTTCAGTGCTAATAAGGAATGGGGTTTGATCTTAGTTTATATCATAAACTGACAGCAAACAACACTCCTTACCCTGTTTCCCTGAAAATAAGACCTCCCCTGATAATAAGCTCAATCGGGCTTTTGAGCGCATGTGTTAAAATACCCCCCCGAAAATAAGCCCTCCCCAAAAATATTTAAACACATGCACAGACGGTCCCCACCATTTCCTCTGGTTAGGGTTAGAGAGACAGAGTTGGAAATCAGGTAAGAAGGCAAGAGGAGCCCCATCTTGCTCAATGCGCCTCAAAATAATGAGACCTCCCTGAAAATAAGGCCAAGCGCTTATTTCGGGGTTCAGAAAAATATAAGACATTGTACTACAGGAGCCTGTAGTACAGTGGACTAAAGCACTGTTATTAACATCTGCTGCTTGCAATTACTGCAAGTTCGAATCTGACCAGGCTCAAGGTCGACTCAGCCTTCCATCCTTTCAAAGGTAGGTAAAATGAGGACCCAGTTTGTGGGGGCAATAAGCTGACTTTGTATAAATATACAAAAGTATGAAGGCTATTGCTTAACGCATTGTAAGCCGCCCTGAGTTTCCGGAGAAGGGCGGCATATAAATTAAAGCAAAAAAAAAAAAAGGCAGGGTCTTATTTTCGGGGAAACACGGTACTAGCACTGATGATATTTGGATAATGAAATGTCTACAAGAAAACAAGCAATTTAATTTAATTTAATTTAATTTCCAATTTATATACCGCCCTTCTCCCTGAGGACTCAGGGCAGTGTACAGCCAAGATAAAAAACATAGAATACAAATATTAAAAAACATTTAAAAATATATATAAATTTTGGCCCGAAAGTTAAGAAATCACAGACTGATTAAAAGAATTTAAAAATTTCTTCTTAAGCCAACCCAGCTTGCTGGAAAAGATGGGTTTTAAGGGAATGACGGAAGGCATTGAGGTCATGGATTCTCCTTATCTCCAGGGGCAACTGATTCCAGAGGGTGGGAGCCCCCACCGAGAAGGCCCTCCCCCTGGGGGTCACCAGCCTACATTGTTTGGCAAGCTCAGAGAGCACCAAGGAGCCTTCTTCACAGCCCTCTATGAAGAAAAGAGGTAAGTCACTCAAGAGTTGCCTTGTTTATTATACACTTCGGGATACCTATCCCAAAATCTAAGTAAAACTTCATGTATTAAAATCCTGGAGAAGGAAGTAATTGAGGAAAATATAGATTTGGCACCTGAAACCTTTCTCCTGGGAGTACTAGAGAACATATGAGAAAAGATAGAGATATCTAATTATACACATCATCACGGCAGCCAGAATAACATACGCGCTGTCAGGTTTTGATGCAATCTCAAAATAAATGAATTTCCAAACTGCCAATCTTTAAGGAAATTTTCTCTTTATTCGAGCATAGCAACCGGATCCTGATTCTTCGCGGTCAACACTGCCCCCTGCCCCCCCATCCCTCCTTTCCGATCCCCAACCCTCCCGCCTCCCACCGGCCATCCTCCAAGCCACTCTCCCGATTCCTTTTCCCGTCAGTCCACAGGAATGTTTTCCCTCTCCTCATCTCCAAGGAGACCGAATCCTCAAAGGGATTTAGCAGGCAAAAGTTCAGGCTTCATCCTCCCTTTTCCATGTCAGCGCTGAGACGCTGACACGCGCAGCATTGGAAAGATAAGTGAATACTACCAGAAGAACACTTAATTCGGAAAATTTTAGAATGCGCTGAGATGAGCAAATTAACATATGAGATTGACGAGAAAGAGGAATCGGAATACTATACGGTGTGGGGATTATGGTATAGATGGTTGGAAGATAGAATAAAGAAAGGAAGAGAGATAGCTTAGTATAGCCAAACAAGGCGGAAGTTGAGGAGATATCATAAGTCAAAAATGTATTCAATCTGTATTTATATTATCACTGTCAAACAGATACTCTATGTATTGTATTATAACGTAATCTAATAAAAATTAATTAAAATAAATAAATAAATAAAATCCTGGAGAAATTTTTTTTGGGGGGGGGCAAGCAAACTTTTACAATTGCCTTAAAGCAGGGGTGCCCAAACTTGGCAACTTGAAGACTTGTGGTGGAGCTGGCTGGGGAATTCTGGGAGTTGAAGTCCACCAGTCTTAAAGCTGCCAAGTTTGAAGACCTCTACCTTAAAGTCTGAAACAAGAAACGTAAACTTTGAATAAGAATGAGAGGAAGGGATGCTTGGATAGGGAACTTCCCAAATAGCTTTTATGGCCATTTTAAAGAGGGGAATCCTCGGGGAGGGGGGGGTTACTTATGGCAGGGCCACCCTGACCTAAGAATGTAGTATTTGAAATGCTCGATGTTTTCCATTCAAAGCAGCAACGTGCTAGAAGCACAGGTAGTCCTTGACTGACAAAGTTTCATTTATTGACCGTTCAAAGTTAGAATGGCACTGAAAAAAAAAAGTGACTGTTTTTATTTATTTATTTATTTATTTATTGGTTCGATTTATATGCCACCCTTTTCCGGAGACTCAGGGCGGTTTACAATGCGTTAAGCAATAGCCTTCATACTTTTGTATATACCTGCTTAGTAGGGCTTTCGCCCCCCCCCCAAAGCGGTGTTCTTTTTTTTAATACAAAGTCAGCTTATTGCCCCCACAATCCGGGTCCTCATTTTACCTACCTCGGAAGGATGGAAGGCTGAGTCAACTTTGAGCCTGGTGAGATTTGAACTTGCAGTAATTGCAGGCAGCTGGTGTTACTTAACAGTGCTTTAATCTGCTGCACCACCAAGGCTCTTTTCACACTTAACGACCATTGCAGCATCCCCCATGGTCACGTGAGCAAAATTCAGATGCTTGGCAAATGATTCCTATTTACGACGGTTGCGAGTATTCCCCAGAATCATCATCTGTTCCCCTTTCGCCACTTTCCGACAAGCAAAGTCAGTGGGGAAACGACAATCCGCGTTACCAACTTAACACCTTCAGGGATTCCCCTGGGGCAAGAAAGGTCATAAACGGGGCCGAAACTCACTTAACAACCATATCACTTAGTTAGTGATGGAAATGTTGGGCTCCATAGAGGCCGTAGGTCAAGGACGGACCTGTGTGATGAAAAGTCCTACACATGCACACTCTGGATAATGGGGGCATTTGCTTTCAATGGATTCCCCCCCACCCCCCAAAAAAGTGTGTTTTTTGGGGGGGAAGATCCCAGAGAGATTGGTTGCTAAGAGAAGAAACTCTCTCCCTCTCTATTTTTTTTCCCCTCTTTTTTTAGGCAGGTGACCTGATTAGAAGTTTGACAGGAAAGAAAGAAAAAGCTTTTTAATAAAGGCTGACACGATTAAAAGCTAGAATAAGTGATCGAAATAGAGGGGAAATACATGTATACATTTTTATTTGATACAATGGAAGTAATAATGAGAAAACTGTGGAATAATTGGATACTGGTAGACTCTAACCTAACATAGATGTGTATTGTTATTAGCAATACATAAATTGATCGAAATTAATAATACTGTTTAATCTGATCAGTTTCATTTGTATTGGAATGTAGGGCACCCAGGTGCCACACTGTTCACGCATTGATTTGACATTTTTTAAATAAAAAATAAAAAACTAGAAACAAAGAAAGAAAGAAAGAAAGAAAGAAAGAAAGAAAGAAAGAAAGAAAGAAAGAAAGAGGGAGGGAGGGAGGGAGGGAGGGAAGGAAGGTAGGAAGAAAGAAAAAGAAGGAAGGAAGGAGGGAGGGAGAGAAGGAAGGAAGGAAGAAAGAAAGAAAAAGAAGAAGGAAGGAAGGAAGGAAGAAGAAAGAAGGAAGGAAGAAGAAAGAAAGAAAGAAGGAAAGAAAGAAAGAAGGAAGGAAGGAAGAAAAAGAAGGAAGGAGGGAAGGAGGGAGGGAGGGAGGGAAGGAAGGAAGGAAGAAAGAAAGAAAGAAAAAGAAGAAGGAAGGAAGGAAGAAGAAAGAAGGAAGGAAGAAGAAAGAAAGAAAGAAGGAAAGAAAGAAAGAAGGAAGGAAGGAAGAAAAAGAAGGAAGGAAGAAGAAAGAAGGAAAGGAAGAAGGAAGGAAGAAGAAAGAAAGAAAGAAAAAAGGAAAGAAAGAAGAAAGAAAGAAGAAGGAAGGAAGAGAAAGAAAGAAAGAAAGAAAGAAGAAAGAAAGAAAAAGAAGGAAGAAAAAGAAGGAAGGAAGGAAGAAAAAGAAGGAAGGAAGGAAGGAAGGAAGAAGAAAGCGCAAAAAGAAAGAAGAAAGAAGGAAAGAAAGAAAGAAAGAAAGAAAGAAAGAAAGAAAGAAAGAAAGAAAGAAAGAAAGAAAAGGCGCTGAGCTTAGGGGCTGAAAAAGGGAACCGGGCCGCCCCCTTACCTTTGCAGGAGCTCACCCCAAAAGCCAGCAGGGCGAGCAGCAGCCTCCAAGGCCTTCCAGGACCGGCTTTCCTCCGGCTGCCCTTCGCCGGCAACGGGAGCAGCTGCTGCTCGGGACGGGTCCGGCCAGCGCTGAGCCTTCGCATGGTGCCTCTGAACGCCGCCGCTCCTGCTGCTTCCCTTGGGCCGCCGGCTCTCCTTGCCGCTCCCGGTGGTTTGCGAGGGCTCGGCTGGAGCGCTCCCGCTTTTAAATCGCCCAGCACTGGGGAAGGCGGCGACTGGGCAGCCTCGCCCGCCCACGCGTGACTCAGACAAGCGTCCGAAGCCCAGCAGCAGAACGGGGGTCCCCTCCCTGGAAGGTCTTGGGGGGGAAAGGGCGACGCGGATTGACCGCGGACCCTTACACGAGGGAGCCGCGTGCGTGCAAAAAAAAACACGCGTGGGGCTCGCTCTATCCTTCTCTTTTTTTGCTCCACGGGCAGAAGTGGCAGAGCCCGCATATGTGACACTTCGAAAAAGGAAAGTGTGCGGCCCCCCTACCCAATATAATTATTCCTCACCCCCTCCCCCTTTACAGGTAGTCCTCGACTTACGGCAGTTCATTTAGTGACCGTTCAAAGTTACAAGGGCACTGAAAAAAGTGATTTATAAGCCTTTTTCGCACTTAGGAATCCTTGCAACATGGTCACACAGCAGTGGAATTCAATTTTTTTTATTACTGGTTCTGTTGGCGTGGCAGAGGAAGGATACTGCAAAATCCCCATTCCCTCCCCACTCCAGGGGAAGGATACTGCAAAATCTCCATTCCCTCCTCACTCCAGGGGAAGGATACTGCAAAATCTCCATTCCCACCCCATTCCTGGGGGAAGGATACTGCAAAATCCCCATTCCCTCCTCACTCCTGGGGGAAAGATACTGCAAAATTTCCATTCCTTCCTCACTCCTGGGGGAAGGATACTGCAAAATCACCATTCCCACCCCACTCCAGTCGGAGGATACTGCAAAATCTCCATTCCCTCCCCACTCCAGTCGAAGGATACTGCAAAATCTCCATTCCCCCACCCACTCCAGCAGAAGGATACTGCAAAATCCCCATTCCCTCCCCGCTCCAGTCAAAGGATACTGCAAAATTTCCATTCCCTCATCACTCCTGGGGGAAGGACATTGAAAAATCTCCATTCCCTCCCCATCCAAGGGCAAGGATACTACAAAATCCCTATTCCCTCCTCACTCCTGGGGGAAGGATATTGCAAAATCCCAATTCCCACCCCACTCCTGGGGGAAGGATATTGCAAAATCCCCATTCCCTCCCCACTCCTGGGGGAAGGACATTGCAAAATCTCCATTCCCACCCCATTCAGCCAGAGGTGGTATTTGCCGGTTCTCCAAACTACTCAAAATTTCCTCTACCAGTTCTCCAGAACCTGCTGAATAGCACCCCTATCCCCATGGTCACGTGATTGAAATTTACATACTTTGCAACTGACTCATATTTATGACCGTTGCAAGTGTCATGTGATCACCTTTTGCAACCTTCTGACAAACAAAAGTCAATGGGAAGACCAGATTCACTTAGCAACCATGTTTCTAACTTAATAATTGCAGAGATTCTCACTTGACAATTGTGGCAAGAAAGGTTACGAAATGGGCCAAAACTGACTTAACAACTGTCTCGCTTAGCAAACAAAAAATCTGGGCTCGATTGTGGTCAAAAGTCGAGGACTATCTGTGTTGCTAAAAAAAACTGTAGAAAGGAGAAGACATTAAAAAAGCTTGCATCTTAAGGAGAACAGTTGTTTGTTCTGTGCTAGCTTTCTACCTGCAGGGAGATGCCTTTTTCATACATACAGCATTAAAAACTGTCCGTGTTCCATCACAGCATTTTTCAGTGTTATGCAAAATTATTGTCTTGATTTTGCCACATTTGTAAATCAGGAGGCGAATCCTAGAATAATATGGATTTTATGGTATCTTGCCCAGAATCACTGTAGGTGGGAATCGATAGCCATACAAAATTAATTAACTGATTGATTAATGGATTAATTAAATTAAAATCATATAGGAAAACTTTGAGATACAGGTGGAGTATTATTATTCTGTAGTAATTTCTTCAACATTTATTTATATTTATTTATTTATTTATTTATTTATTTATTTATTTATTTATTTAATTTGATTTATATGCCGCCCTTCTCCGGAGACTCAGGGCGGCTTACAATGTGTTAAGCAATAGCCTTCATACTTTTGTATATTTATACAAAGTCAGCTTATTGCCCCCACAAACTGGGTCCTCATTTAACCTACCTTAGAAAGGATGGAAGGCTGAGTCAACCTTGAGCCTGGTAAGATTCGAACCTGCAGAAATTGCAGGCAGTTGTGTTAATTACAGGGTGCATTAAACCACTGTACTACCAAGGCTCTTATTATTTATTGGTTTATTATTATCTTATTTGTTGGTTCGATTTATATGCCGCCTTTCTCCGGAGACTCAAGGCGGCTTACAATACGTTAAGCAATAGCCTTCATACTTTTGTATATACCTGCTTAGTAGGGCTTTTGGGGCCCCCCTAAGCGGTGTTATTTTTTATACAAAGTCAGCTTATTGCCCCCACAAACCGGGTCCTCATTTTACCTACCTCGAAAGGATGGAAGGCTGAGTCAACCTTGAGCCTGGTGAGATTTGAACTTGCAGTAATTGCAGGCAGCTGGTGTTACTTAACAGCACTTTAGTCTGCTGCGCCACCAAGGCTCAACACTTGAGCCTTGTCCTACACATGTCCTACACATTTCATGTCCTACGCATTGCAGTAGAATGGCTTGTGATAGCCAATGTAATCATAGAAAACAGCAAAATAATCAATGTAAATGCTTCATTGTATGAAGCAATATGACATTATCTCTAACATAGCATGACAGCTGAGCAAAGGGGGGTAAAAGGGGGCTAAACTAGATGACCTACAAGGTCCCTTCCAACTCTATTATTCCAAGGTATGAGCAAGTATCCAGGGTTTTCCAGAAACCTCCATTGGGGTGGGGAAGGCCCGTTTTTCACTCTCCCCAGGCTCCAGAGGTTTTCTAGGAGCCTGGGGAGGGTGAAAATGGCCTTCCCCACCCCCCCAGAGGATGGAAACAGCCCATTTGTCGACTTCTGGTGGGATTGGAAGGGCCGTTTTTTGCACTCCCCAGGCTCCAGATGCTTTCTAGGAGCCTGGAGAGGGAGAAAACCACCTTCCCCAGCCTCCGGAAGCCCTCCAGAGGGCAGAAAACAGGCCCATCGGGCCTACCATGCCATCACGTGCCAAAAGCATGGGGAGCGCGGGGGGCGGAGTCACGTGCACATGCACGGGGGCGGGGCCCATTGAATTATGGGTGTAGGCAGGTGCGCGCGCAACCCCCCCCCCACACACTCCCCTCGCTTTTGGCACGCAACAGCAAAAAGCTTAGCCATCACTGACCTAGACAATTCACTTCACACGTTCATTCCACCACAAATCCCCTTTTGGCTGTTATTAGCATTAAGAGCTATGAACATGCTGCTATACAGGTAGTCCTCGACTTAACGACCACAATTGAGCCCAAAACGTTTGTTGCTAAGCGAGACATTTCTTGAGTGACTTTTGCCCCATTTAACCAACTTTCTTGCCACAGTTGCTAAGTGAATCAGTGCGGTTGTTAAATTAGTAGCACGGTTGTTAAGTGAATCTGGCTTCCCCATTGACTTTGCTTGTCAGAGGTCGCAAAAGGGGATCACGTGACCCCCCCCCCGGGGACACTGCGACTGTCATAAATATGAGTCAGTTGCCAAGTGCCTGAATTTTGATTGCATGACCATGGGGATGCTGCAATGGTCATAAGTGTGAAAAACGGACATAAGTCACTTTTTTCAGTGCCACTGTAACTTCAAACGGTCACTAAGTGAAGTGTTGTAAGTCGAGGACTACCTGTATACTTGTAGCTCTGCTTACCTTGCGGATATTAGTGGGAGGGGGCAAAAACATGGAGTTTCATCCTCCTATTATTGTCTCTGAAGGAGGCAAAAAAACATAGTTGGGAAGACAGAAACCACAGAATAATTTGAGAATATGTTAGGATTCTGGCCTTCCTTCTTACTATTGTGTTTCCCCGAAAATAAGACCCTGTCTTATATTTTTTTGAATCCCGAAATAAGCGCTTGGCCTTATTTTCAGGGAGTCTTATTATTTTGGGGTGCGTGGAGCAAGATGGGGCTCCTCTTGCCATTTTACCTGATTTCCAGCTCTGCATTTAAATATTTTTGGGGAGGCCTTATTTTCGGGGGGGAGGGCTTATTTTAGCGCATGCGCTCAAAAGTCCGATTGGGCTTATTATCAGGGGATGTCTTATTTTCAGGGAAACAGGGTAGTGTCAGGAAAATTGTTTTAAAATACCAAAATTTAATGAGAAAACACATAGAGAAAAGAAATGCTTCAGTTTCAATTATTAATCCAACCCAATCCAATCCAGGTAACCACTAATTACAAATTTCGCTAATTATTATTTGACTACTACAGGTAGTCTTCAAGTTACAACCATCATTCCGCCTGGCAATTACAGGATGCTCTCAAGGCGGTGGCCATGTGACAAGATGCAATTTTATGATTTTTTTTTCCATGTTGGTCGTTAAGGGAATACCACACTCATTAAGCAAGCAGTGAAGTCATTAAGTAAACTCATTGTTCGTTATAGAGCTGGTTTTTGCTGAAAAACAGAAATAAACACCTGTTTCTGGAAAAAAAAGCCACACATTGTGGTCATGTGACTGAAGGAAGCTGCAAACAGCTGTAAATATGGACCGATTGCTGAGTGAATACAATCATGTGGCCCTGGGGAGGGACGGACCATACCAGAACTTTGAAACCGGGTCGTAAATAGCTTTTTGTAGCTCCATTATAACTTCAAATGGTCATTAAATGGAAAACTATATGTGATCCAAGTATATTGGTACAGTTTGAATCAATATTACCTCATTTCACCATTTTGGAATGGAATGGAATGGAATGGAATGGAATGGAATGGAATGGAATGGAATGGAATAGAATAGAATAGAATAGAATAGAATAGAATAGAATAGAATAGAATAGAATAGAATAGAATAGAATAGAATAGAATAGAATAGAATAGAATAGAATAGGGATTGTGCCAGAAACATACAATAGAGAATTGAGATATTTGATTGTGAATGTTTTAACAGCGACTAGAATTGTGTTTGCTAAAAACTGGAAAAATGAG